AGTCGGTCACCGACGTGACGTCTCCGTTCCCTCCTTCAGGGAACGAGGGTTACATATGTAACCGAGACATTTGTGTTTTCATGTATGTGAGCTGGCCCTCATTTCCTGGGCTGCTAACATGACAGCTAAGCAGCTTCAGAACCAGAGGCAACACTGCATCCTCTCCCAGAGCTGTGGCAACTAATTGATTAACACTGCCACTTATAAACACAATCTCAGCATGCCGTAAGTGATAAGATTCCCTCGGCTCCATCTCACAGCACCTGCCTAATGAGGGGACAAGCGAAACCATGGCCCAAACGAGGACAAGACGAGACGAGATGCCACCATCCCCTATCTGTCACCCTGGAAAGCTCTTATCAGCTCTCTTTTATTCTCCCAAATTAACTTTAATGCTGAGATAAGCGGAGGGGGCTCACATTTGCATTGGCACTGTTAATTGACTGTTATCACCACACCGGAGTTGAGGAACAGAGCGGTGAAGGAGTAAAAACCTTCTCTTTTTCCCCTTCAACTATACACCTGCAATTTCATCAGTCTTTTCACTTCTCCACCCCTGTCTTCTTCCTGGCTCCTCGAGCCGAGGGCAGTCAGAGATGGCGGGAATGATTGGGAATGGTCTTGGAGACAGAGAGACGATGTGGTTGCCATGTGAGTGCTTGGGACAGTGATGTACGAGCGAATCTAGCTTCTGATAATTCGTCACTCACAGACACAGAGAGGTCCATTAATCAAACGCAGCACAGTCAAGCTGCCGTCTCCACTAAAAACCCTCACGGCAGAGGTTTAGAAGCATCTGCAGCAACCTGTGATGGTAGATCTGGTCTTTGTGGCGTTAAAGTTTCTACTGGTCATAGATCAATGGAAACAAGTGTAGTTCCACTAGCTGAGCTCAGAGGCCTTGGTTAGTTCACCCAAAAATTAAAATGTGTTATCATTTACTCACTTCCAAGTTGCTCCAAACCTGTATGAGTTTCTTTCTTCTGTTGAGCACAAAAGTAGATATTTTGAAGTATGTTGATAACTGAACAGTTGATGGTAACCATTGACTTAAATAGTATGAAAAAAAAATACAATGGACATCAATGGCTACCGTCAACTTTTTGGTTACCCACATTCTTCAAAAAAATATAATTTGTGTTTAACAGAAGAAAGACATTTATACAGGTTTGGAACAAGTGGAAGGTGAGTAAATGATAACAGATTTTTTTTTCTTTTTTGAGTGCACTATACCATTAACATCTGCCTCTGGTGATCCAATCACACTACATTAGCATGTGTTCAGCATGTAGATTCAAAATATATATCATAAAGCTAAGACTTTGTTCACATCAAAAGTAACAGCACAGAGCTTTTTGCAATTATTGTATGGCATGCATACTACAAATAATGTTTAGTGACATTTGGCTCAGGCATCAACAGCAAACAACAAGGACTTGAAGATTGAATTTGGAATTTAGGAATCAATATCAGTTCATCAAATTGATTATTGATTAAAATCTATTAATTGACATTGACAACCCAGCCCTACCAGCCACTAATTGCATTTATTTACACAATCACTCTCGTTTCTCAAAATCTCTAATATTCTTCTGCAGTTTTCTCTTTCTTCCATCCAAGAAATGTGTTGACTTACCTTGAGGGACATTTTGTTTATGTGGCCTGTGACATCTGCACTATGACACAGATCAGCCCCTCGTTGAACTTGTTTAAAAGTACATCTGTCGATTGAAGACTTATAAAGAGAAAAGTAAGCTGAGCTCCTCATCTTTGGTAGGAAGTATCTCTCTCTGTATTTGAGAAGATCTGATCCAATATGGCCCATATATGTCAATGTCATTGCACTAGTAGTTCTAGATTAGATCATATTTCATACAACCCGCTTGAGGGTCATCTTCTGTAATTAAATGTGATAAATGATCAGAGTAATGTGTTGAGATCCAAACAAGCATATTTTGCACCTACAGTACTGAATGCTGAATGGCAGATTCTGTTGCCATATGTTCACACAACCGTATGGTACCGCAGAGAAAAATATGTTTCCAGAGTCATTATTATTGAAGTAGTGATGATATACTGTAAGCAGACATGTATTTTAAGATCTTGGGTACTTCAAGATCCAGGGCACAATTTACAGCTGTATTGAGAATGCATTTTAAATTCAGTTTCTGAATTTGAATTAAGGTAGTATATAGGATGTGGATTTTCATTTAAGATAGCGGAATAATGAATATCATATAACTGCAATTTTTTTTAAATTAGAAAAACACATTATTTGCTTGACAAAGCCTTATTTGAAAGTTCTGCGAACAGTTTTAAAGGCTTTAAAGATAGATAGATAGATAGATAGATAGATCTTTCTTCAGAGGCCTTGGGAGTGACTCGATCAGTCTGCAGCTGTTTCATTGAGAATGCCAGCTCATTTCTCAGGCTCGACTCTGCGGTTGGAGCCAGTGTGCCATTCCTGGTTCATTCTTATGCACTTCCGTTGCCAAAGAGCTCGTCAGCTGTGATGAGGTAGAGCCTGAAGTATTCCTGGCCTCCATTTTTGCTCAGAAATTTCTCATGGTAGTTGGCAAAGGGTGGCAGGGAGGGAAGGAGACAGGCTTGATTTGATGGACTCCATTCTCTGAAGAACTAAATTATACAGGAACAGATAGCGCAAATGAACAGTGATGGCCACTTGGTTTCTCTGGGGCAGCTGAGTGCTTTTTATTGCACGGGGGAGTGAGCTGAGCAAAATGCAAGGAAGATTGCAGATGTTTGGAGACAAATGAAAATCACAGTTTTCAGGCAAGTTGCCCAACCTCTTCAGCTTATACTACTCTCCACTGTTTTAAAACTTCAGTTTCTTCATGAAGTATAGTTAACTAAAGTTTGTATGGCAGTCTGGTTTTGTGTCTTCAATCACCAGCTGCATGGAAAATGGCTGCTGGTGATTTCTATCTGTCCAACTAGCTGCAACCTGACTCATCTTTAAGGCATCCACGGTCAGACTGACCCTCCCTGGGAAATGAAATCAAATGTATTTGCTTTTAACATCAATGCCCTTCCCAGGTTAAGATATCGTCCTTGTCCTTTAGAGTCAGTTCATGATTCATTTATTGTTACTTGTATGTTTGTGTTGTGCGGTTTTATGAAATACGGAAAACTCTGAGCATGCACTATTTGTCCTTGGTTTGATGGGAAAATCATGGCAGCAGTGAAGGACAGTTACTGTTGGAACTTATCGCCATTTGCCGTTGTTGTTCTGGCTCAGATATCAAACTGCTGGATGTGGATTAAAGCCGTCTGTGCAGGAGACACATGCAATCTCCTGATTTACTCTTAAAACTGCCATTTTGTTCTGATTAGCAGATAAAAGTGCATTTCCGGAAGGAGATGGAGCTTTAGATGGAACAAGAAAAAACAAGTACAGGCTAGTTAATGTGACAGAAATAGCAGCTTTTCGCTTTCCTTTTCAGATATCGAGGCTGTGAAAACAGTCAGCACTTTGAAACATCAGTTCCACAATATTTCTTTTTTCAGCACCAATTACGTTTCTAACTAAAATGATGTATTAGCCCTAGAATGAATGACCAAAAATATACACACTAATGCGTAAGAAGGTCAAAATGACTCATTAGAATTAATGGTTTTCTTTAAAGAAATAATACATGTCTTTTAATAATTAAATAATTTTAAATTATTTATTTAAAAAATAACATTTTAAATTTTTTTAAATCTTATATTATTTTCTAGGTATGTACAAAAAGCCTCATCTTGTCAACTTCTTGTGAACGACCATTTTACACAAACCAAATGATCACACGATCTTCAGTGCTTTTTGAGAACAACCGCATTAACTTGAAATGCGCAGCAGATGTATTTTTCCGCTGTGCATAGGATTCAGAGTGAAAGTCTTTTAAATACTGCGCAGCTGAGACTACAGCGCTGGCATTTTAAAAGTGGGGCTGAAGCTGCACTGGTATTTGTACATGAGTTAACATACTAAGTAGGCACTGCGGTAGCTGAGCTGTGAATATTCATGGTTGGCTCTTTGCCATGGTGATGGCTCTAAAATCCCATTTTCTGAAGCGTAATTTCATTAAGAGAGCAAATAGCTGCTCTAAAATCCAAAAGTATTTGTAATTTCATCTCGTGTTTTAAACTAATTTTCATTGTCAGTGAAGAAGCAGGCTGGTGCATCTGCCACGTGCAATCACAGACAGAGAGGGCCGTGCAATGAGAAACTTGAACAGTTTTGTCTAAGTGTGTGTGTCTACATGTGTTTTTGAGCCAATCTCATCATCAGAGCACAGTCTCGCCTGATTGGGCAAGGTGATGCTGACTTGAATTGGTAATCAGGCTTTAAGCACATGAACATGTTGAGGTGGCATGTCTACTTTTTACATGGAGAACTCAACTATTCTTCTCTGTGTTTTTTATCATTTTGCATCAATTTAGCTGACATGACACTCACTTTTCTGGCAAATAATCGTCATATTTTTGGTGTTGTTTTGCTACAGTGTAATTGGCCAGTCAAACTGCAATTTTAAGACCAAGCTGAAGATCAGCTGGTAACATCAGCAGTGGACTGAACATGCAAGAGTTAATCCTACTAATGCGAGCACCTTGCCTTCCAGCAAATCAGCTAGGACTAACGGTCGAACAATAGCACGTCTAATTAATGTTCATGAGCCAGGCTGATAAAGGAGGTCTATAAAACCTGGAGAAAGCTTTCTGTCTGCATTTCCATTCATCTTTATAAACCTGCATGTACCCCCTGAAAGTATGCAGATTTCATGTCACTCACTAAGGTAATTAAAGTTTTGAATTCAGAATTTGGGTTTTTCTTGTATTTCAGTTTCCGACTAAAGACCCGCGCAGTAGCATTAGTAGTGGACTGAAGGTGTGAGCGTTAATTCTACTAATGGTGAGCACCTTGCCTTTCAGCAAATCAGCTAGGACAAATGGCCGAACAATAGCACATCTAATTAATATTCAAGAGCCAGGCTGATAAGGTTAATAAAGGAGGTCTATACAACCAGGAGAAAGCCATGAGTTCGCTTTCCCATTCATCTCTATAAACCTGCATGTACCCATAAGTATGCATTCTGCATTATTAAAGTTTTTAGTTTGAGTTATATAGTATTAGTTTTTTTTCCCCCATTGTTTCAGTTCATTTAGTTTTTAGTTTAGTTCCAATTTAAGTATTTTGTGCTGCCAAAGCTAGTTAACTGATATCTTTTAAACAGCATTGTTAAATTTCTTAGCACAACCTAGTCTGCAAGTGTCATCTAGTTGAACTTAAAAAACAATAAATAAATAAAATAAAATAAAAACAATTTTAGAATTTTTATTGTATTTCTGATCAAATAAATGAAGTCTTAGTGATCATAAGAGATTTCTTGCAAAAACATACAAAAAATCATAGGAAGAATATTTGTTTGTGTATATGTAATGACTATAAATGAGCATAAGAATCTGCAAATTACACAAGTGTTCAATCATAAAAATGTAGGTTCCAATGACAATTACACGCAAATGAAACCAAAAGGGCCTTGTTTTTAATGTGGGGATTGGCTGTGGCATTTACAGCAGTACCTTGTGTTGTGACAGACAATTTGTGTCAACACTGTTCACTGTGATTTTCAGTCTGGCACATCAGTCGCATTGACACTTGGGAGAGATTAGAGGGTGTTCACACAGGACGTGTTCTCCCTTTCAAACAGCTAGACAGAGCGCAACTGAACGGAATGGAGCTCTTGAGATGCATTTTTAAAAGTGTAGCTATTTTTAACTTGACATTTGCCAAATCATGGGCCTCGGGCCAAACATCTCCGTCTGACAAAAAATATATATAAAATATTAATCTGAATGTAAACTTCTGGTGTTTAATAAAATGTTCACGTGCATTTCATTTGTCAATTCAGTGAGTCAATTTAGTGCCTCTGCTATGAATTGAATGAAGTGGCTTCTCATCTAAAACAAGCTCATCGTAATGTGTTTATATAAGCTTACGGAATTCTTCAACTATAACCAGCTGTGTCATTTCTTGCTCTTCGAAACAAACCTCTTTTCCTCAGCATGAGAAGACCCTGCTAGATGAAACCATTCTCTTCTTTCTCACTCTCCGCGACACAAGATGGATGTACCAGCAGATAAAACGGCTCACATGTCAACTTATGGACTCCAGGTATACTTCAAGATCCAGTTCCCTGTTTCTGTCATTAAATCTGTCCTGTTCTACACTCCATCCCTGCAACTTCCTCCCACAACCCTACAATAATTGGCACAGCCAGATCTCTGGTCTTCCACTTCCCTATTTTCCCATTTCTTCCCTCCATTCTGTAGTAGCCATTGATGTTTCCCTCAGTGTGACAAGTGGGGTTATTTTAAAATTCAAACTGGATTCGTCGGTGAGTCGGGCGATGACACTTTTTAATATCTAAGTGGAGGTTGTGCGGGAAATGTGAAGCAGACGGCCGGGGTGAGAATTCATTACCCGGCCCCTTCGCTCACCAGCGCCAGCTGCTGCCTCGCACATCCCATCTCAAACCCCAAATTGAGTCCCATCCTCTGCATATATTCCAGCCCCATTACAATGTCAGATATCCAGTCCTGAGATGGCGCCCGCTGCTTATGCGATCTCAGTCACTAGACAACTTGCTTCCACAACTTGACCCCCATCTGCTCTTACCTTTTTATTTTTATGTTGGGAGGCCTGAGGAGATGTTGATACTGTGATTGTCTGGTGGCTTACGGAGTGATCAGCACCATGGGCTAGATGTTTGACACACTGTCATTCATATATTATCCCAGTATCACTCTCTTATCATCGTTCTTCCCTTTCCAATTGTCATCTGGTGTTCTACTAAAAATGATGGCAGAACACAGAGATTGAAGCATGTTTCACAAGTGATATGACAACTTAGTGGCACATATATGAATGAGCCATAAATAGCCAGACAGTACGGACAGTTAATTAATACGAAGAATTGTCCATTCAGATTATTAATGTTAATAAATGTAACCCTAGAATGCATAAATGTGGCCAAATTGACCAGACAGAGTATGAATTTTGGGCTATTGTTCAGTTATTTGATTCTGTAATTTTCCCTTAATTATACTTGTTATTTTTAATATTATATTTCTTGCTGCATTTATTTGATCAAGAATACAGTTAATAAATAGTAAAATATTATAATTTAAAACAACTGTTTTATATCTTAATATAATAATAATAATAATAATAATAATAATAATAGTAATAGTTTCTTCCTCAGGTAGCAAAGCTGCATTTTCAGCAGCCATTAGTTTCCAGTGTCACATAATCATTCAGAAATCAGTCTAATATGCTGATTTGGTGCTCAGGAAACTGTTTGTTTGTTTATTTATTTTTTAGGATTCTTTAATAGGATTCTTTCAAGAAGTATTTATTTGAAGTAGAAATCTTTTGTAGCATTATGAAATCATTTACTGTCACTTTTGATCAATTTAATACTTCTTTGCTGAATAAAAATAATTTATTTAAGAAAGAAAATCTTCCTTCTACTGTAAACTATATATTATATAAAGATAAAAACATGATACCTCTTTGATGAAAATCATTAACTCATGTTGACCCCCTTTTTTAATCAAGGTTGTGTTAATTTCTTCTTTCTTTTATCCTATTGCTATTACCACCAGTTTCTTAATAAAAGCAATAAACCACTTGAGGCAATGTGTTTCGGTGATATTCCCACAGTTAAGAAGGTTTGTAATGCAAAGCCTATTGAGTCTGATTGCTTTAATATACATAGAACAAACACAACATTCTTTGCTGTGATGCCAGGACAAAAGAGCAGCATATGACCTTTGATAATGAGCAGCAATATAGAAACCAAGGTGATTAAAGCAATGTGATTTTAAGTTGAAACAAAACAAAAAAAAAAAGTTGAGTCTTTTTAGTTTCACAGAGTCCAGTGCATACATGGTCTTGGATTTTTTTCTAATCTAAAAGGCCCTTTTTGTCTAAACCATGGTGATACAGTACATTCAGGGGCAAGACCTCTTTTGGCCACTTATTCAGGGCTTAGACAAAAAATTGAATGAGTTTCCATAGTTGTGTTGATAGGTAATCTTAGTGTAATTACGAAAAAATAATGGCTCAGAACTTGCTGTTCCTTGTATGTATAAGCTCTAGCAAATGGCTTTAGCTGTTTTTGTAAAGCATGTAACTAGCAGACTGTGCACAGCTCAAACTTGGACTGCAAAGATATAATGTTCTGAGAAAAGACCTTGTTCTGAAAAAAGTACTCGCGGATGAAAAGTTTCAAAGTTTTGAAAAGGCTTGAAAATAGAAGGTCAATTCCTTAGAAAAATACGTATGACTACATAATAGGTTACGAAAAGAAACTTTATAATAGTTGAGCATATAACATGAGCAAGAGTCAAAGCAGAATCAATGTGGCTGCTCGTCTTCAAGCAATGTGTAGTATTGTTTTATTTCTAAATGATTCGATTGAGTGAATGATTGACATTCTGTAATTGACTCACTCATAAAGACAGTCACCTACAGGCATAACCTTGTAACATGCAGGGAAAAAAAATCCCCATACTAATGCACCGAATGACAATCTGTATGCAACAAATATAGTAGGCAGACCTACCATGAGCTTCAAAGTTGGTAATAGATGATGTATGTTAGCCTACCTGATGTATGGAAGCTTCTCTGATTTTCATAAACCTTTTTGCTTCAGATCAAAGTCTTTGTTATGATCTCAAAGCTGGTTGATTGTCTCCTGTGGAGAACAGCAAGTATTAAATGGTCTACAAAAAAGGTTAGAGTTAAGAATAAAGGTGAGATAATGCATTTGAAGCTACTTTACATCCCTCAAATGTGTAATATCCCAGGGCTCACAAAATCGCAAGCCCGACGTCCCGGGGATATTGTGTTTTCCAGTCGGGCTACCAAAATGTTTCACCACCCTGCCCGACGGGCTATCTTGAACAGTGATATCAAATTCCTGTCTTGATTTGCGTTGTTCACTAGCTTGTAGGGGTAAAACGGATCATAGGTGATCGTTTCCACGTGTTTCTAAGTCTTGCCGATTGAAACATTCAAGTGTTTTAAACCATTCACGCGCATTCGGAGCTGAGTGCACTCATTCAAAGCGCGCACAGAGAGCCACGTTTCAGACAATGTTGCTAGGGTAGTCTGAAAAGTTGTTAAATTTAGCAACAAAATTGCTAAGTTGGCAACACTGAATGCGCGTACACAGAATTGATTTCTCTTTCGCATATCCTTGCATCTGAATGAACACACACACAAAATTATTGGATCATGATTAAAATGCAGTGGTTGCCTCTGATTTTAAATGGAAAAAACACAACCAAATCATTAGTTTGTTTATATGAAGAGATTTATTTTATTTGTATTATTTCATTGTTTGATTTGGGATTTGTTTTAAAATTTCAAGTTAGTTTTATTATTTAACATTTCAATTTCACAAAGAAATATGCAGCATTTTGTCTGAGAAATAATAAAAGGACACCTTTTCATTTATAATT